AAGATGTTTATACACTTAATAGTATAGGATATAGCACACAATTTCCTTATTTTTTTTTTAGTCTTCTTAGTAGTTCACTTTTATAAGGCTACCTCTATAGATAGGTAACAAAACAACTTCTTTTGCAACTGCAGGTAGCAGCCCACTAATTAGGGAGTTAACTGAAAGAAAATGCTTCTTCCTTGCTATTGTGGCAATTAATCTGGATTTATTGCTTAAGAACTGCCTAGAAGACTCTGTTTCTTATCAGCTACTTAAGAAATGGTATGTGACATTCAGATGTAATGCCTGAAAGATTTTGTGGGTCTTTATAAGCTGTGAAGAACAAAGAGAGCTGGAAGAAACTGGCAGAATTCAATATAGGAGAATAAAGAGTGTTACTGTACAAGAAAAGCATATGCATGTTTCCTTTTTTCCTGAAATCTCTCAGATAAAGTCCTAAATTCTAAGTGTTGTGGAGATTTTCTCTGAAACCTGCTTGCAGCCCAAAAGCTGGTTCTTTTGGTGCTGAACTCCATCATCTTGGATTGGCATTGTATATTCAGATATGACAGCAATAAAGTAAATAACAAATGAGATACTATATTTATTGTATTTTTGTCAAAATGAAGCCTTTATGTTTCAAAGCACACCATAAAGAAACTGAAAGAATGAAGTACACAATAAGATAAAATATTTCTTTGTCATGTATCTGATGATTTATGTTTAGAAATTTTACAACTTAACAATAAAGGCAACCCAATAAAAATAGGTAAATTATTTGAATAAATATTTATCTAAAAATAAAGTGCCTGAAAAAAGTGTTTGACATCACAAGGAAATGCAAGTCAAAACACAAGGAGATAATATATCACACAAACTAGAATAGCAATGATGAAAAATCAGACAATTGTTGAGGGTTTGGGGAAAATGGAACTATTTGTGAATATTAAATCTCACAGGGTTGGAGAGATGGCTCAGAGGTTAAAAGCACTGACTGCTCTTCCAGAGGTCCTGAATTCAATTCTCAGCACCCACATGGTGGCTCACAACCATCCGTTATGAGATTTGTGCCCTCTTCTGGTGTGCAGATATACATGGAAGCAGCATGTTGTATATATAATAAATAAATAAAATCTAACAAATCTCACAACCATTTTGGAAACCACTAGCGATTCCTCAAATAATTAAGCATAGAACTACCATATGGCCAAACAATCCTTCCCTTAATATAAATCAAAGAGAAATAAAAACATATCTAAATAAAACATGTACAAAATGTACACAAATATATTCAGCATCATTATTCATAATAGCTCAGTATAGAACAGTACAAATATCCATCAAAACCTAAATAAATAAAACTATGCTTTTTCTACTGTATTAGTCATATTTACATTACTATAACACAAATCAAATTAAAAAGAATATATAGTTTTGGAGGTTTCAATGCACTTTAAATTGGCTCCACTGCTTTGCGCCCCTGATGGACCAATGCATCATTGTGTGTGTTTATAGTGGTGGAAGTCAATTTGTCCCATACCTAGGCATGAAATGAAGAAAAGGTACTGAATTCATATTATCTCCTTTGAGTGCATATACCCAATGATACAATCTCTTACTTGGTCTTACCTCTTGAGGATAGATTTCAGATTGATAGGTTATGGAATATTATGCTAAGGGACATAAACCAGACACAGAGAGACAAAAAACACCAAAAGATAGGGTCCAACTGCTGAGAAGGACACTGGATATGAGCCCGTGTTTTAGCTAGGGTTTCTACTTCTTTGAAGAGGCAATGTGACCACCGCATGGTCTGTCCTATCACAGCATGAGTGATGCCAACTTCTCTCTCACTTAGGGTTTCTGTTGATGTGAAGAGACACCAAGACCACTACATCTCTTATAAAGGAAAACATTTAATTGAGGTGGCAGCTTATAGAGTTCAGAGGTTTAGTCCATTATCATTATGGTGGGAAGCATGGGGGCCTGCAGGTAGACATGATGCTGGATAAAGAGCTGAGAATTCTACATTAGGATCAGGAGGCAGCAGACACTGGGCCTGACTTGATCATTTAAGACCTCAAAGCCTGACCCCAGTGACATACTTTGTCCAACAATGCAATACCTACTCCAAAAGGCCATACTGCTTAATATTAGCCTATGGGGGTCATTTTCTTTCAAACCACTACATTCCTCTTGCTGACCCCACAGGCTTATAGTCATATCATAATGCAGAAATGCTTTAATTAAGTCCAACTTTAAAATTTCCCATAGTCTGTAACAGTCTCAAATTTCTTTAAAAGTTCAAAGTTCAAAGTCTCTTCTGAGATTCATGCAATCTCTTAACTGTAGTCACATATAAAATCAAAATCAAAAAGCAGATCACATACTTCCAACATACAATGGCACAGACTATACATTACTGTTCCAAAACATAGAGAAGGAAACATAATGATGAAATAAGGAACCAAAACAAGACTGAAAACCAGCTGGGTGATACTCCAAACTGTGTATCTCCATGTCTAATGTCAAAGCACTCTATAGATCTCCACCTCCCTTCAGCTTTGTTGACTGCAACCTACTTCTTTGGGCTGTTTCCACTCCCTGCTAGTAGTTCTCCTCAGCAGATTTCCTACAACTTCCGCATCTTCAACACCTTGGGATCTTCAAGGCAATTCAGGCTTCAACTTCACAGCTTCATACAATGGCCTGTCCTGGCCTCCATTCAGGGACATGCTTGACACATTCCTGGCCTCAGCAAGTTTCCTTAGTCATGAAGGAAGATTCCATAATGCCTTTCTTGTATCGTTGACTCTAAAGTCAGAACCACATGACCGAAGCTGCCAAGTTCTTCTGCTTGCTAGGCTTGAAACATGGTCCCCTCGTTCAATTACATCTTCACCATCTTAAAGTCTTTAATTGTTTTTCTAATCCATATTTCTCTAAAAACATTGTTTGTCCTATCATCATGACTGGAAGCATGGTGGCATACATGCAGACATGGTGCTGGAGAGGTAGCACAGAATTCTATGCCTGGATCTTCAGGCAGCATGAAAGTGCCAGAAAGAAACATTAGAACTGACTTGATTATTTGCAACCTCAAAGCCTGCCCCCAGTGACTCACTTCCTCCAACAAAGCCACACCTACTTCAACAAGGCCACACCTTCTAATAGTGCTATTCTTTATGAGCCTATGAGGGTCATTTTCATCCAAACCACCACAGTTAGGATTCCAAGGGTAATTTGAGGTGTAAGCGTTAGCTGTGATCTTAGAGATAATGTTGCATATCTGCTGATTGCTGTCTATAAAGACAGAATGAACACTCTCTTATGTGCCATTGGCCACAGACATCTATGAAACACTGATAGTAGGTTAATATCCTCTCTTATACCTTAAATGCTGAATCAAAATTATAGCTCTGCTTTTACAATTTAGTAGTTATTTTATTGCCTTAAACCCAGTTGTGCTGTTAAAGTAAATGTTTTGTGCTTCAGATACCATTCATACATATTAAATATTCATAGTATTGATAGAGCACTGGATCTGCTTATTTGCTTATTGGCTGTGTTTGATTTTGCTATATTTTATAGCTTTAATGAATCAAATATCAACTCAAAACCAGATTTGATGATACACAATTTTATTAAAATATTAAATTATTATTCCTGAATTTGTTAAAGAGAACAGTCTTAATTCACAAATTATAAATTAGCTATTAAAAATTGGCTATTTTTCTCCTCAGAACTTAAGATATCCCACGAAGGTTTACTTTCTGATGAATAAATTTTATTACCAGTTATTGTGGAACTATTCTTCCAAAACTCAGATATTAAGAGAGAACAATAGATCACTGTAAAAATAAAAATTGACACATCAAAGACAATTGATTATACAATTGAATAAGCAATAATCATATATTAAATAAAAAATTAACTTTAAAATATGCAATGTCCTTAGAAAGCACTAATAGGAAAAAGGAAAAAGAAATAATTTTAATATTTTGCTGTGAGGCCTAGCAAATGAAAGATAGGTTTGAAATTATGTTCTTTATGTCAATTTCAAGAAATTTCCACAGTGCTCTAGCTGTAACCATGATTATTTTCCATAGAGTAAAGAGGGAAAGGGAGAAAACAAAAAGAGAAAAACCCACCCAAATGAAAGATGAGGAAAGATCTGTCAGTAAAAATTAGGTAGAGACTAGGGGAAAATGCAGCCTGTGTGCTAGCACACATCTGCGTTCAAAATTTCTCCAACGAAAAGGAAGGCATATTCATATACACAGAATAATTACATGAAGGCATTAGTGGAGAGAAAAAACAAATTCCTGAAAGACGAAAGGCAGATGGAAAGAGCAACTGAAAGGATTTAAAGTGAAGAAGGAACCAAGAAGAGAGCAGGGTTGTGGGCCAGTTTCACAATGGTTTTGCAACGACATGGAGACAGAAATAATTGATCACTCTAAAAGTTTCTGAGAACAGAAGTTTAACACAGTGGAGGGGGTATACCACAGGAAGGGAACTTTTCTCTCCTGGCAGGAAGCTTATCTCCGGGAAAGGGGAGGGGACTACGACTACAGCACCAGCTGATGGAATCCCAGGTGGCAGTGCAGCCGCCTCCAAGAGGGGAAGGCAGAAGGACCCACTAGTCCACCAGGCAAGACACCACCAGAGCTCCCATTGCCTGCCCCGCCACCTTTCAGACAGCCCTGACGGGCAGACGAGCGGGCAGGCGGCCGGTTCCTCTCTGTGAGCTCTGGCGAGCACTGCCTAGTCTGGGCGCCTTCGCCTCGAACTTTTAACAGAGGCAGCAGCAAGGTGTCCGATCCCCGCGTGCGGAGCCCTGGACCACAGGACGCCCTACGAGACTAGTTCCTAGGTGGGCGCCAGGCAGGGGCCGTGTGGGAGGAGACGGGCCTGGGAGGGGACTGGCCGGCGGGAGAAACTGAGTAGCAGTGGGCAAGTGGCCCACACGGGGAGGAGGACCCGGGCGGCTTTAGGAGCCAGGCATAGATTCGGGAATGACCTCGGAGGAGCGCGCTCAGGGCACCAAGAAAGACAAGGTGGAGGGGGAAAGGCGCTTTGGTGTACTTCTCTCCTCCTCCAAACATGTTAACGCCAGGGCCCCAGGGGGCCTGGGATCAGGCTGCTGAGACTAAGTGGCCAGTTCTGGTGACACTGAATTCCTAATCCTGCTGGTTATCCGCTGCCCCGCTGGGGCTCAGGGGAGCTGGGGATGCACAGCACAACAGCAGGTGCCCAGCCAGGTTTGTCCTCAGGCTTCTTGGGGGCAGTTAAAGACCAGCGCCAGTGCTGAGGGTTCCAAACAGAAGATGTTGGCCATTTGGCACCTTAGCTAACTGTCTCTTCCTTTTTCCCCTCCTCAGACATGGAACCCGGACCCAGTACCCTGGATAGCAGGACCCAAGTGACTGAACAGCAGCCCAGCAGGCCTAGAGGTGGGCAGGAGGATCATAACACCAACCGGGCTGCAGATGCCATCAACGCAAACGCTGCCCAGGGAAGGCCAATCAACAGATCCTCATCCCCAGCCCAAAATAACATCGTGGGCCGCAGAATTTCTCACGAGTGGAAGGAAGACAATGGGCGCATCACCCATTGGAAGGGAACTGTTCTGGATCAGATTTCTATAAAACCCTCTCTCTATCTGGTAAAATATGATGGTGTTGACTGTGTCTATGGGTTGGAACTTCATAGAGACAAGAGGGTAATTTCCCTTAAACTTCTCTCTGACAAGGTAGACACATCCCAAGTCCCTGATCCCATCCTTGCTGATACAATCATTGGCAAAGCAGTGGAGCACATGTTTGAGGGGGAGCATGGCTGTAAGGACGAATGGAGGGGGATGGTCCTGGCCCAAGCGCCTATCTTAAAGTCCTGGTTTTATATTACCTATGAAAAAGACCCAATCTTATACATGTACCAGCTTTTGGATGATTTTAAAGAGGGAGACCTCCGTATCATACCAGAGATCAATGAGGTTCCTCCACCAGACTTGGACCTGGAACTTATGGATGGTCTTATAGGTAAACACGTGGAGTATGCCAAAGAGGATGGCTCCAAAAGAGTTGGCATGGTGATTCACCAAGTTGAAGCCAGGCCCTCTGTATATTTCATAAAATTTGAGGATGATTTCCACATCTATGTCTATGACCTCGTGAAAAAGATGTGAATTGTTTGCCAAAGTTATGTGACAACTGTTGAAATAAAGTTGTGCTTCGTACACAATGCAGAGGCTGCTGTTTCTGACTGTGTTGGCAGCTCACCATAGGCTTAGCTGTTGGTTGTCCTGACAAATGCACATTTCTGTGGGTATGGCATGTTGTCTGTGAGCACTGTGCCTTGTGGAAAAGACTGGGTGTGTTTGGTGGGTGGAGCAGGGAAAGATGGAACAGCTGTCAATTCAGCCTGTGAGAGAAGAGAGCTCGTATCATAATCAGTCATCTAAAAATGGAATGGGACTTAGCTGGTCTGGTCTTGGGGGGAGGAGGAGAAGGAACTGGAGATGGGCTGTGGAGGAGGGGGCAGGAGGAGGTGACTGCCTAGGGAGAGGTGGAGGGGAGCCAGAATGAGAGAGAGGCCAGAATGAGGGGAGGGACAGAGTGAAGGAAGAAACATGGGTTGGGAAGGGAAGGAGGGAAAACAGAGGGAAGCCTTCTGGCACCTTCTGGCTCTCAGGAAACCAGAAGGGACTCGGTAGAAGAAAACAGAACAATGTAAAAGAGGTACACAGTAAGGGTACTCAAGTCTGCTCAACAGGGAGGACCCTGAGGGGAGAGAGGCTCTGGGACTTGGGAGGCCAGGAGGATCCATGCCTAGGAGATAGAGACACTTAAAGAAGGTAACTGTGGGAGGAGCAATTCCAGGAAGAATGGCCTTCTGAGGCATCCACACTCTTCTGTCTGGCTGTCCATGGCAGCAATGGTTACCTCGCAAACAAAGCACAAGCATTGGAGGGTCACTGAAGGAAGGGAACCAAAAGTCAGATTTGTACCTGCCTATCAGACTCATCTGGTTTCAGAGAATCTGACACAATCTGAAGCCTAAGCAAACTAGTGAGAGTTCCAGGCTACCTCTGGGCCAAGGGCAAGTACTTTCTTTGGGAAAATGGATCCTTGTTGAATCCAGGAATAGCAGTCCTGTGTCACCGTCCTTCCTCTTGCTGGAAGAGTCCTTGCCTTCCTAGGGGGAGGGGACATCTGATGGCTGTGCCTCATGTCTCCATGGTATGGAGAGAACTTGGCAGCCCATGCTCTGTCACAGCTGCCTGAAGCCACAGGTGGCTCCATTCGGTGACCAGGCAAAGGGAAACCGCCCTTCCTTAGGCATCCCATTCCAGTTAGATCCCCAGCAAAGCATGTAGCAACTGATACCTTCTAGGTTCCCTAGGTTCCTCCCTTCTCTGACTTAGGAATTTTTTTTTTACACAGGATATATCTTCTTCTGTCTTCTTTATGATTCCCAGGCTACATTTGACTAGGGAATATTAATGTGTGGTATTCTGATAGTTCAGTCATTCACAAGATTACTAATTGATGGGTAGTGTCCTTCTGTATGCTGTGAATTTTTGTTTCTCTTATTAGTTGATGAATAAAATTGTTTCAGCCAATGGACAGGCAGGATTTAGCCAGGTAGGAAATCTAAACAGAGACAGAGAAAGGTAGTAGGCAGAATCAAGGAGATGCCATGTAGCTGCCAAGGAAGAGGTCTGGCCATCACCAGTAAGCCAAGACCATGCAGAGATACACAGATTAATAGAAATGGGTTAATAACCAAAAAAGAGCTAGCCAGCAAGAAGCCTAAGCCATCAGCCAAACAGTTTATAGTTAATATAAGCTTCTGTGTGTTTATTTGGTACTGAACAGCTACAGGATTGGGTGGGACCATGTGGAAGTTGCACCACATTCACAGTGATAATCAACGTAACTTTAGACAGTTATAGACACATTAAATGTCACGTCCACATCAGAATGCATGCTACAGGTACTAAGAACTGCTGCCTGTATTTTTGCCCCATGAGAGGAGTGATTGTGGAACATTGTTTATAGCTTTCTTGTCTCTTCTTGGTTGTTTCAACACAAAGAAAACAGAAGGTCAGGAAGGGAAAGGAAAAAAATCAAATCCTTTTTATAATAATCAATGAAGACAGTTGTACTAAGAAGAAATGTTTTTACTGTTCTAAGCCCCATCAAATCTCTAACAGGAGCTGGAGCCTTGTAGCAGATTGTCAATTTCATTCCTGCTATGGACTGAGCTGTTGCAGGTATTATGACTGTAAGCCCATTATAGAAATTGATGGCACATAAAACACTGTTTTGATCATTTACTATGCCTTCCTTTTTATACTATTGCCACCTTTGAATTAAGATATGCTTTTATTCGCAGAACAAAACTAATATGACTCAATAGGCCTTGATTTTAATGGCCCTGGTGGAAGTATGCTTGAAAGAAAAAGTGTTTGTTGTCCCTTCCAGGGAAATTCAACCCCAGGCTCTATTATCTACGAAACTACTGACTAGGTGAAAGTTATTGATTCACAACGTTTGGACTAAATACTTGAGTCTGGTTCATTGATGTCTAGTATGAAATGAAACCTGAGGGTGTCCATTGGTTTGTTGTGTATGTTAAATCTCACTGGGATAATGTATGTAGAGTCAAAAGCATTTTGAGAACTGAGTGTTCTCAAGTAGCTGTAACTTAAGACCATTTTCACAGGTCTGGGTCATACTCTACTAGATCAGAGGTTCTCAACCTGTGGGTCATGACCCATGGGAGCTGAATGACCAGTTCCCAGGGATGCATATCAGATATCCTGAATATCAGATATTTACATTATGATTCATAACAGTAGCAAAATTACTGTCATGAAGTAGCAATGAAAATCAATTTATGGTTGGAGATTACCACTACAAGGGTAAGTGTATTAAAGGGTCACAGCACTAGAAAGGTTGCAAATCGCTGCACTAAATGAAGTTTATTATACTTGGCTGACTCATAGAATATTGGAACTGGACTAGTTATTGGGTCTGCCATTTGGGATTGAAAAATCTAGAAAAAGAAAAAAAGCTCTGCCTCTGTTACCACCAAAACTGAGTTATTTATGTATGTGATCACCACACTAATAAAACATTTTCTGATGAGACTAAAATAAAGCCCCAGAATTAGCATGTACTATCTAAATTTTTAGAATTTGTGGCTGGATACATCACTATACTGTACATGACAACACACTGTCAAGATAGATATCAAATTATACAGTTCTACTCCTGTTTACTGCTAGATGCCAGACTTATTAATCTTTCCAAACTCTGTCTACAAGTGAGAGTTGAATTGCCATCCCGCATGAGGAATTTCCTCTCTCACAATTACCAAGACATCAACCATACTATATTTGATTTTATCTCTTCTAGTGCTTGCTGGTTGTGTCTTACCACTAAAATGTTTCAGATCAGTGTTGTTGATCCAATCTACTGAATCAACTCTGGATACAATACCAGGATCATTGACGCTAACATAGTCATGAATATATATTTTGATGCCATTTTCCAAAGTTGTAGCTTTCTCTTGCTATGTGATGAAACATCATGATCAGAGTAACACATAGAAAAAATTGTTTATTTGAGCTTATGATTCAAGAGGTTGAATAGTGCCATGATGCTGAAGTGGAGGTAATAGGCAGCAGGCAATTGAAGCAGCAGCTGAAAGCTCATGTCTTGAATTGCAAAAAATGAAAACAAAAACAAACAAACAAACAAACAAAAAAAACAAACCCAGAGATCACACTGGAAGCAGCACAATTCTTCTAGCAAGACCACACCTTTTAAGTCTACTAACTAAGGACCCAATATTCAAGTGCTTGAGACTTGAGGGAAACCTTTAACAACCGCATTGTTATATAAATACCACATGTATATCCTGTACCATTACATGTTGGAAGTGTGTGTCTGCTTTTTGATTTTGATTTTGCAGGATATTACAGTTAAGAGACTGCCTGAGCAGATCTGTGTGAGTTCAAGACCACTCTGGTCTACAATAGCTAGTTCCAGGACAGCCTCCAAAGCCACAGAGAAACCCTGTCTCAAAAAATCAAACAAAAATAAAAACAAAAACAAAAAGAGACTGCCTGAGGCAGGGCTGTGGTGGTTCATGCCTTTAATCCCAGCACTTGGGAGGCAGAGGCAGGAAGATCCCTGAGTTCAAGGCCAGCCTGGTCTACAGAGTGAGTTCCAGGACAGCCAGGACTACACAGAGAAACTCTTGGAAGTTTAGTTTTATGGCTACAAAAACTGAAATTTAAAAAAAGAGAGAGATTGCATCAATCTCAGAAAAGACTTTGAATAATCACCATTTTCACATTACAGGTTTTTTAGACATTTGAGTTGCTTAACTATTTTATTATTTTGGTAATATATGAAGATACATATAAATGTTTTATACACACATGTTGCCATTGATTATAGTTAAAATTAGTTGAATTTTTTGTGTATTTACAAAGTACGTCCTGTCATTTGCTATTAGATATTATATACACTGCAATGGAAGTATTCTCAATTTTCTGGGATATTTGATGGGTTTCTTCAGATAAACCTTCAAGGAAAATGGTACATAACAGTTTTATGTTTTATTTCCCAGACTGAGTGTACATGCTAATTAAATGCCCAGTGGATAATGTATGCATTGCAGCTAGGATGGAAAAATATTCTGGCAATTGGGAGCCACGGAAAACCACCAAGTCAGCCCTGCTGCAGGGAAATGTTTCCCAAATGTAACAACTCTGCTCTGCCCAGGCTCTGTCTCTGCTCTGGTGAAAGAAGGTCTCACCCAAACCTCATTCAAGAGATTTACTGGGGGAGGAATCCAAGAGTGCAGCTGCCTCTGCCAGGGTGGGAAAAGGCAGCTGCCACCTGGACAGGCACTGGGCTTATACAGGGCTTCTTAGGGGGTAGAATGTTTCTAGGGTGGAGATTTTCAGGGTGAGAATTGGTCAGATTTCAATCCCTGAGTTTAGACAAGCTCAGATTGGCTAGATTTCGTGCTCAGGGATTGGTTGGTGTTCTTTCTCAGGGAATGGTTGGTGTTCCTGCTCAGGGAATGGTTGGTGTTCCTTCTCAAGGAATGGTTGATGTTCCTGTTCAGGGAATGGTTGGTTTCATGCTCTGTTGGTCAGGGGCA